GAGTTAGGCAGTGAGATCCTTAGGACCAGAAACTTGCCTTACTCTTCCTGACTCGAGGTTTAGCTGCTCAACTGATGTACAGTAAACAAACGAAGGCGACAGACTGACTGTCTCTTCATGCTCCACTTCCTAACTCTGCTGGAACTCCCAGAAGTTTTCAGCATCTCTACCTTGGTCTTTCAGCACTTTCTCCCTTAATTCTTTGAGCCTATACACGGTAGCTGTCTCAAATCATCTTTGATTATGTCAGCCAGTTTGTCTCTGACGCTTCCAGCCTAGAAGACTGACTGATACATAACTGCAAAGACCAAGGCGAATTAGCAAACAACTAGGTGAAGGTCAAACAAACAAAAAATGAAGTGATCCTGTGACCTAACAACATACTTTCACAGAATACATTTTATTTAACCCCAAATGTCCATATCTGGAGAAAATTGATGGGAACACCTCAGTTCTACAGCTCATGGAAGTCTAAAGCCTTCTCTGAGACTTTCCAAATCTCCCCAGGGCATTTCTAGTCTCCTGTCATCCCATTCCCTTTGGTTGTTCATTCCCACATCCTCTCTTCTAAACCACACTCACCCAGGCAGGAATGCCAGCCACTCCAGCAATTTACACACACACACACACACACACACACACACACACACACACACACACACACATATACACACACACAGGCATGGACATAAAATATGTACTACATAAAGGAAGCAGTGTCATTACATGTCCTTGAGCAGATTATAACTTCTTTAAGAATGGTATGAAGGGGGACCCCAAAAAACTGAAATTATCTTTTGAAAGGTGGGCCCCTTGTACTACACTCAAAATTTGTTCCTCTGGATCAAACGGTCAACCAAAGTTTTTATCTGGAAGTTTTGAGAAGGTTGCATTATGGTGGTGGCAAATAGGTGACTGGTTCTTCCACAATAACAACTCACCTGCCCATGCCGCACTGTGTTCATCCGTTTTTGACCAAAAACAGAACATGTCACCCGTGCCCCACCTTCCCTATTCACCTGATCTTGCCCTGAGTGACTTTTTTGTTTATTTCCTGAATGAAAAAAACTCCTCAAAGGGAAATGTTTTGCTGATGTGAAGAGATGAAACAAAAAACAGCAGAGATACTAAAAGGCATCAAAATTGATGAGTTCAAAAACGGTTTGGGGCAGTGAAAAAAAGCATCTTGATAGGTGTACTACATCAAATGGAGAGTACTTTGAAGGTGACGGAAGTTTAAACATGTAAAAATAAATGCACAATTTTATATAAATAAATTCCATTTTGGGGGGTCTTCCTTCATATGTGCTTCATAGGACTGTTCTAAAAATTAAACAAGCATGCAGCTCTTGATGACTTCACATATTCAACAAATTAAACATTCAGCACCCTGGGAAAACTGACTGACCACATACAGAAAATTAAAACAAGATCCCTACCTATACCATACACAAGGATCAACTCTAAATGAATCAAAGACCTAAATGAAAAACCTCCAACTATAAGAACCTTAGAAAATGCAGGAGAAACCCTTATGGAAATTGGAACTGGCAACCAATTCCTGACCAAAATCCCAAGCATCCATGCCATAAAAGATGAGATAGACAAGTGGGACCTCATCTAGCTGACAAGCTTCTTCAAAGCCAAAGAAACCATCAAAAGAGCGGGGAGACAGCCCACAGACCGGAAAAAATATTTGCCAACTGTATGTCTGACTAAGGCCTAACATCTAGGGTCTATAAGGAACTCAAATATGCCAAAAAAGAAAAAAACAAACAGCCCCATTACAAAGTGGGCAAAAGATATGAATAGACAGTTCTCAAAAGAAGATGTACAAGCAGCCAACAGATAATGAAAAAATGCTCAGCCTCACTAATCATCAAAGAAATGCAAATTAAAACTATACTGAGATACCACCTAACTCCAGTCAGGATGGCTATTATCAATAACTCAAAAAACAATAGATGCTAGAGATGATGTGACAAAAAGGGAACACTTCTACACTGTTGGTGGGAGTGTAAACTAGTACAACCTCTGTGGAAAACAATGTGGCGATTCCTAAAAGATCTAAAAATCGACCTTCCATATGATCCCTCAATCCCCCTACCAGGAATATACTCTGAAGAACTCAAATCACTCTATAAAAAAGATACCTGCACACATATGTTTATCTCAGCATTGTTCACAGCAGCAAGAATATGGAACCAACCATGCTGCCCATCAAAAAAGGACTGGATAAAGAAATATGGTACATACACACGATGGAATATTACACAGACATAAAGAAAAACAAAATCATGAACTTCACCACAACCTGGATGGACTTAGAGTCCATAATACTGAATGATCTTTCACAGAAACAAAGAACTGAGTATCACATGTTCTCACTCATAAGCAGACCTTGAACAATTATCATAATACTATAAGAAAAGGATGGACAGTAGTGGGAAACTGCCAGGAGGGGATTAGGGAGGTGGGATGGGCAGTAGTGGGAATCTGTCTGGCGAGAGGAGGACACAGCTCATTAATAAGGGTACCTCCATAATGAACAGCTGTATACCTAACCCTGAATTGTACCCCACATCTTTAAAACAAAAAAAGTCAGCATCCAATTCATAGCCAAGGTAGAACATTTTCCTGAAGGACTGAGTCCTCAGAGAGGTCAGTACACACACCACATTAAGGGAAAAAAAAAACGTTATGCAGTTTAGCTACTTTCAAAGTCCCCTGCAGTCACTATCCCATGAATGTGTTGTCCTTCCCAAGAAGAAACCCAGACTGCCTTCCCTGAATCTTCTCCCTTCTCTAAATGTCTCCCTTTCGCATTCATTTCCTCCGTATTCCAAGCAAGTGAAAGGATTCCTCTCCTAGGCTAGGAATCCAGGCCCTTCCGTTCACACCCAATAAGGGCACTTTTCTAAGTGAAGACATCCCATTACCAAAGAAGAATCCCTGGTTCCTGCTCTTAAAGTGGTATAATGTACTTCGTTTAGTTAACACGTGGAATGTCAGTTTCCAGACCTCAGTCACTTGGATGGTACCCTTGTAATTTTGTCTACAAGCATTCACTAATGTATATTTTTAAAATGCATATTCTTAAAAGTGAACTTAATTTTAAATTTTAAATAAATTTATCTTAAAAGGAAATTTTACTTCACTACTATCAGTGGTAAAATAGTATTACTCATCATGATAAGAAGGTAATCTTAATGGTAAGACATATAAGGTTTTAATTTTAAAATAAAAAAGTTGTTGGTGTACCACCTAAATTTATGTGGACTCCTAACAATGCCTGCATCACACTTTGGTAAATGTGAGCCTAAAATTTATTTTACTGTGACACTCAGAGGCTGTGTAGAAAGGAAATGGGTAGAAAGCATATGACGTTTGCCTGTTATTGATATTGTGGTAGAGAGGGGAGTGGGTGAGGAGAAACATATACTGATGGGATCTGCTTGGAAAACAGACAGACGGATGGTCCAGCGATGAGTTCTGGGGTGAGAGATCATCTTGTATCACACACTGTTGCTCCACAGCACCCAGGAGAATGGTTGATGTCCATTTAATCGAATTGCATTCTGCCCTCAGAAACTAATGCTGCTATAAATAAATGTTTGAAAGCTGGAAATGTTTGGGATCATAATATCTGAATTATTCCCCCAAAAGTGCATCTTAACCAACGGATCCAGCTTGAAACAGCGTCTGAAATTTAAAATAACTCCATAATGTGTCACTACTGATGCTGTTCACTCTGGCCTTTTAATTAACAAAAATAAAACTGAGATTCTCTGGATTTCACTAGGCTTTCTCTGTGCAAATAATTTCACAAACATTTAGAGGAAAATTAAACATAGGGTACCAGTCTAAAAATCTATATTAAAGTCCCAAGACTCCATGCCAAGCTAGTGCATCTGGTAAATAAGTCCACAAGCTTTCTACTGAGAGTGTAGTATGATTTATTGACAGATATGCAGAGTCTTTTGTATATGTGGATGTTCTAGAACACAACCCTATGAAATCCACATAATGCAGCAATGACAAGCTGATCAGCAGCTCTGTGAAATATCCACAACATGCTGTGATCACTCCAGGCATCAGGAGACACATCCTACTGTCCAGGACTCCCCTGGTTGGGTGAGAGCATATCTTTGCAGCTCAAGTCATATTGCACTAGAGTTTCTGTCAAGATACTTGACAGCTCTCTTTTGTCACAGCTTTCTACTACTTCAAACACAGAGGCACACGGCCCCTGACTATACCTGAAACATACTTTTCTACAGGTCTCAAGTGAAAGAAAAACAGCTCCTGTGATTGTACCAGGAGCGTTTTCTTTTAGAATGTCTTTCCAGTTACTGATATCTATGGATAATCCTCAGCCTCAAATCCCAATTCACAACATTTAAACCTCATTAAAGACAATTTTCTTTGTACTATTTGATTGTGCCAAATAAAATAAAGCAAGCCTTTAAGAAAAAAAAAAACAACCTAGGAACCACCCTATTATTTCATCTCCAAGAATCGTAGAAAATTACGGGAAAGTAAAACAAAACCATTTAGCTTCATTTAACTATGCCATGCAACCATCATGTCACATAATCTAATGACCGCGTTGAGAAAAGAAGTGGGCAAATTAAAATCTGCTATGAAAAGCAGCTTGAATTTATCTCAAGTTAGATGTACAAATAGATATTCTTAAGCTATTCTTATCCCCATTTAACTGCATCCTTTTTCCCATTAGAGAGATGAATATCTATTTTCAAACAGCAGCTCTGTAATGCAGACATTTAGCATAGGAGGCAGCTGGAAATATTTTTCAGCCATATCACATTCATCATTTAAGCAGAAATGACAGAATACCAATGATCAAACAGTACCACCCTCATGATCATATATGAAACAACAAAGAAAATCCACATCCATTAGCTTTGTGACTCTGCAGCCACAAACTTTTCAGAGGCTTCATAAGCACACAGCACAATATGTCCAGAAATGAAACGTACCTCACATTAGCATCAAGTTTGTCCATTACAGGAAGTAGGCATGGGTGAGCTGGATTTCAGTGCCCACAGGGTCCTACAATGGGGAAACAAAAAAATGTTAGGAAAGTAATGTAGAAAAAGTAAAGCCCCTGTTAAAGGGAAGAATGCCAAGTAATCATTGCTTCCTATGTATGAAGATTTGTTTTACAGGGATATTTAATAAACAATACTATAGCAAAAAGCTATTGGTATATTGAGGTATGGTGTAGCTGAGTATTGCAAAAGGTTTCTTCACCTTCTACTGATGTCTTGGTGATTAAAATATACAGGTTTTTTTTTTTTTTTTAGCTCTATGTTCATCCATTTATTTGTTCTTTTTTGTTCTTCCCAGAAACATAGCTTATTCATGAACTAGTGAAAATAGCTAACTACATTCTTATAATTAAAATAGTGCATTATCTAAAATGATCAGTCATTTTATTTCCTGTGAGGATTTTCCAAAACAAATTTGTTTTGCTTCAAAAAGTGACAGTTATTCAAAGAAAAAAAATGACAAGATGTCCATCCCTCGGCTCCCTTCCCTCCCCCCTCCTGTTGCTCCTCAGCCCCTCAAGGTTGAGCCTTGGCTAGGGCTAGGTAGAAAGACAGCCCCTCTCATATGAGATCAGCAACATTGAGGGGTATCTCCTCAATAGAGATGTGGTAGAAGGTCTCGATGTCGCAAAAAGTCCTCTTGTCTGCTTCTGAACAAATGTAATGGTATAATCACTATTTATCATTTGGGACCAAAACATTTTGCCATCATTCATCAAAACAAATTTTAAACCTTTTTGGGGGTGGGTCATCGTAGTTCCCTTCGAGAATCTAACAAATCCTTTAGAACTCTGTACAGAAAAAAAGTGGGTATGCATGCACCTACATACACGTTTTCCAGTTTCCTTGAAGCCAGGAGCCCAAGGACCCAAGAACTCCAGGCTAAGAACTCTCAGTGGAGTGGGGACTAAATTTCAAGCTACAAAAGCTCCTCGACCCTTATACCCATTAACAGACAGGCAGTCATTGATCTCCTCAAAATCGACTCTCAACTAACTGTGCAGTTTCATTTTTGCAGAAGAATTTTTGCATTGTTCCTCTTCTTTGTTCCACAGCATAGTAATCAGGGAATGCAGGGCCAACCCAGTGGTGTCTCCAGGGGCCACCTGGAGCAAGTTCCTTTTCATCTGATTCTCCTTCTTCACATCTCAGTGGACAGGAGAGACTGGAAGAGATCATTCCTGGGTTCACTACAGTTCTATCTGCTGGCTTTCTAATTGAATCTTACCAAGAAGAAACTCCAAATTTGTTTATCTACATAACAGAACAAAGAACTCAGTCGGGGCCCTGGGATACCTTGACCAGGGCAGAGTAAGCACATGTGGCTGGCAGCCAGGAGGAGAACGGCCACCACAGAGCTGGAAAGGACAAAGGAGACTTCTGTGTTCTCCAGCGTTTGCTCCTTAGAGCCTCTGAGTCTAACATGTGTTCCCGTGGGCATTTCTGGGGCTGGAGCAGGCGTGAGGAAGGCTCCACCTGTGGGACTCAGGTCCCTACCCTGACACTTCTATCTATTTTACATTTTGAATGTGGAATAATACTGTATTTGAAATACACAAATACAAAGCCTTAACTATTGAAGTGACAGGGCTCAATCCACTTTTCACGTCTATCTAAAAGCTTTCCTGAGGAGATCACATCCACCCGGTGGCTTAAAGCACTGCCTATTCACTGAATACTCCCTAAGTGTTATCTCTAGCCTGGGCCTTTCCCAGACTTGTAGTGTCCATGGACATCAAGACAGGTGTTTAAAAAGCGATCGCAAATGAAACTCTTCCTTTCTCACCCCCAACAAAAAGTTGCTTCCCCGCTTCCCCCACCAGATCTCTCCATCTCAGTAAATAGTCTCATCACATTCCCAGTTAAGCCACAAAACTCCTTTTTGTCACACCCTACGTCCAAACCACCGACAAACGCATTCTCTCTACTTTGAAAATGATTCTTATCCTCTGCAGAACCAACACCGGTATCCAAGCTGCCATCTTCCTTCCCTGAATACTCACCCCCCAAAACCCGCCTCCGGTCCACCATGCTTATCTCCTCTCCTCATCATAGCCAGATGATCTTTTTAACATGTAAGACCAATCATTTCTTGCTTGCATACATTTCTAGTGACTTCCTTTCACATTTGGAGCTAAACCTATACTCCTTAGCATGGCCAAGCAGATGCATGATCTGGCCCCAGCTCCTCACCTCTCACCCCTAGCCAAGTTCACTCCTCCCTGCCCACCTGCTTACTGATTTTGCCATTGCCCTTGACCGGCACAGTAGGCGGTCATCTCAGGGCCTTTTCACTTGTCTCCTCTGGCTGGGATGTGACCACACTGGTCACTCCTTCACTTCCATAAGAGTGCTGCTCAAATGTCACTTCTCTCACCATCTTACTAAAATTTCAGACGTCATTTTCTTTCTTTTTTTTTAAACCTATTTTTTATTTTAAAATTGTGGGATACAGTTAAGGGTTAGGTTTACAAATATGCATCATTCAGGCACTCTTGTTGATAAGGGGTGTCCCCCCGTTCCCAGACAGATATTGACTATCATTAATCCCACCTCCCTTTCCCTCCCTGCACCCCCCCAAAGTTTCCCACCACTGTCAATTCTTTTCTTATAGTATTACAATAGATGTTCAAGGTCCATTTATGAGTGAGAACATGTGATACTCAGATCTTTGTTTCTGTAAGAGATCACTCAGTATTATAAACTCTAGTTCCATCCAGGTTGCTGCGAAGTTCATGATCAGACCTCATTTTCTAAAGATGTCTGTTCTCTTTATCTGCTTTATTTTTTTCTTTCCAGTATTTATATTATATATAGTCAATTCCTTCTTCATTTGGGATCTGTCTTCCTCACAAGAATACAAGCTTCAAGAGGGCACAGGACACTGTCTTGATCCCTGTGACATCCTCAGTACCTAAGGAAATGCCTGGCATATTGTATTCTCATCATAGATTTTTTTTTGAGTCAACTAAGTAGTTAATTTGTTTGCAAATAAGGAAACAGAGCTTTGGGAGTTTCTGACTTTCCCATTGGCAGGTATATATGGGCCATTCCAGAGTACAATATCATAGTTTATAAAAGTAACAAAAGCCGTTGCATCTTACTATATTAGTTATTCCTCACTAAGTGTTAATAAGTGCCAGACATTGTGCTTTTCCTCCTCCGCCAACCTCTGAGTCTTTATCTCCATTCTCTAGATGAAAAGACTGAAGGTCAGAGAGGTTAATTGGCTTGTCAAAGTCACACAACTAGCACTTGACCAACATAGAAAGCAACGACCACAAAGCTGGAAAGGACAAAGGAGACTCTGTGTTCGCCACCGTTTGCTCCTTAGGGCCTCTAAGGACTGTGAACTCCAAAGCTCAAGATTTATCCTACATAGCCAGATGTGGTGGTGCACGCCTACAGTTCCAGCTACTCGGAAGGCTGAGGCAGAAGGATCGCCGGAGCCCAGCAGGTCGAGGCTGCGGTGACCGGGAACGGCCACTGCGCTGCAGTCTGGGCAACAGAGTGAGACTCCAACTCAAAAAAAATTAAAAAATTACAGAAAAAAAAGCTTTATCCTACATAGTTCTTGTTATCACATCACACATTTCCTCCCACTGGGGCAAGGGGAGAAATGAACATTTGCTATAATTTTCTGCTGACCATCTATTTCATCTTTCTCTGAGAATAGTGTTTTGGCTTTCCTTAGTGGAACGAGCCCTCTTTGCCCCAGTCCTTAGCTCTGGTGATAACCACATGAGCAGGTCTGGTCAATCAGAACAGTCTATTCCTGGCCAAAAGGATGCCTCTGCTTGTTGGCTGGACCAGTGAAAGTCAATCCTGGGATTTATGCTAAAAAGAATCTCTCTTCCTCTGATGTTGCTAGACAGTTTTAAGCAGCTGGTAGTCATCGTTGCCACCTCAGGGGAAGAACCAGTCTGAGAACGAAATTAACCCAAAGAAAAGCAGAGGTATGCCAGGTGTAGTGACTCACACCTATAATCCCAGCACTTTGGAAGGCCAAGGTGAGAGACTGCCTGAGCTCACAGGTTGAAGACCAGCCCGGGTAACTTGGTGAGACCTCATCTCTACAATAAAAATTAAAAATTTAGCCAGGTGTGGTGACATATGCTTATAGTTCCAGCTATTTGGAAGACTGAGGCAGAAGGATCACCTGAGCCCAGCAGGTAGAGGCTGGAGTGGCTGTGAGCATGCCACTGCACTCCAGCTCAGGCAACAGAGTGAGACTCTAACTCAAAAAAAAAGCAAGAAAGAAAAAAAGGAAAAAGAAAAGCAGAGGTGCAACACAGAGAATGCCAGTGTCTTGACTACATGTCTTGAGGCTTAAGATCCAGCAGAGTCTTAGGACAGTTTTACATGAGAATGACCCAGTTACGTGAACCAACTAGTTTCCTTTTTCCTCCTTACACCAGTCTGAGTTGGGGTCCAGCCATTATTTGCAGCTAAAATAATCCTGACTATAATAGAGGAAAAACAGTAATTGTTATACAGATTAAAAGGAAGAAAAATGGAACTAAGAAAACTCATTAAAAACTAGATAAAGTTCATCTCATTAAAACTGCATATGAAAATGTTGTAACACAAGGAAAACCTGTGTATTCATAGCAGTATACATTGTTATATTTGCTCATTGAAACTCAGTGAGCAAATTTAAAACAACTGCCATTTAACAAACCAGTGAGGTGGCAAGCATTTTGTCAGAGAAAAGGGAACAGGGGAAAGCGGAGTTGTTGGTTAGTACCTGTCTTAATTTGGTTAATCGATTATGGTCCACTATTCTCTGCTGTGCTCAATAGGAAGAATAATCAGAGCCATGATTAGAGGAATATATTTTATTAGGAAGCTTGCATAGGCCAGAGGGAGTGTGAAAGGAACCAGCATGTTTGTTTAGCATACTTACATTTCTGGATCCTTATGAAAACATTACCCAGTTAGTTGAAAACACAACACAGTGCGTCACCTATGCTCAGGTACAACTTCTGCCACTTGTAAAAGTT